TATTAGGTTCTTATAGAGCAATTGCAAAAGTCAAATTCTTGTGAGAAGGTTGCTTCTGAAAGCTATTTCTATACTTGATCAGCCTACCCGATTTGTATAGGCCTATAGTTTCTCGCCTCTGTTTGATGACCAATTAAGTTGAATTAAGAAAGGAAATGCAATGAAATTATATATATATGTATATATATATATATATATATATATATATATATATATATATATATATATATATATATAATATGTCGTACCTAGTAGCCAGAACGCACTTCTCGGCCTACTATGCATGGCCCGATTTGCCTAATAAGCCAAGTTTTCCTGAATTAATACATTTTCTCTAATTTTTTTCTTATGAAATGATAAAGCTACCCATTTCATTATGTATGATGTCAATTTTTTTTTATTGGAGTTAAAATTAACGTAGATATATGACCGAACCTAACCAACCCTACCTAACCTAACCTAACCTATCTTATAGGTTAGGTTAGGTTAGGTAGCCGAAAAAGTTAGGTTAGGTTAGGTTAGGTAGGTTAGGTAGTCGAAAAACAATTAATTCATGAAAACTTGGCTATTAGGCAAATCGGGCCTTGCATAGTGGGCTGAGAAGTGCGTTCTGGCTACTAGGTACGACATATGTATATATATATATATATATATATATATATATATATATATATATATATATATATATATATATATATATATATATATATATATATATATATATATATATATATATATTTGTTCACGTCCAGTTCGTGAACAACCGAGGAAGCCCCTCTCTCTCTAACCCCAGCCTTCACCTGATGCTTCTATTCACCTGGGCTCTAGGAGACTCGAACCGTGTAACACCCCCCCCCTCCACGCGTGTGTGTGTCTAAGCCCGAAGCTCTATATATCGACCGAGCTATTGAGTAGTCTCAATAAGGAAGACGATGCAGGGTCCTGCAGGGCCGGTGTTCGATCCCCCGATGGTGCAAATAGTTGGGCAGTGTTCCTTCACTACTTCCTCATTTTCTAGTCCTCATGTTTCCATAGTGTTATATAATCATACTGGCCTAGTGCTTCCTCCTCATAACTTACCTCACCTTACCTCACCTAACCTCACCTTACCTCACCTTACCTCACCTTACCTCACCTTCCCTCACCTTACCTCACCTTACCTCACCTTCCCTCACCTTCCCTCACCTTACCTCACCTTCCCTCACCTTCCCTCACTTTACCTCACCAGGCCATTTGGCATATTCCGCTCTGACACCGACTGATGCATTATGGGAATAGGTTCAATGATTTATTTGGCTCTAAACTTGCTTTTAGCTAGATTTCCGCCCCCCCCCCTTTTATATGAGTGTGGGGCTGACAGCTAACCCCCCCCCTCACTTTGTTGAAGAAGGCGAGTTAATAGGTCCCTCACAAGCGCTGAGAGAGAGAGAGAGAGAGAGAGAGAGAGAGAGAGAGAGAGAGAGAGCGAGAGAGAGAGAGAGAGAGAGAGAGAGAGAGAGAGAGAGAGAGAGAGAGAGAGAGAGAGAGAGAGAGAGAGAGAGAGAGAGAGATATCCTGAAATTTGTTTGCACCTGAGTGCGAGCAGCTTTGGTTTGATTACTTACGAACAGAGGTGTGTGAGGCGTCTTGAAGGTTTCATTCAAAAGCACCGACACCTTTGACAGTCATACATGTCTCCTTAAAACAACCGGAGGAGATATAGCTCTTCTTTCCCCCCTTGTCGTAATCACAGCTACCCCCCCCCCCCCCCCTTCTGTGAAACGCCTAGTTAACGTCTCGCTCCACTAATGCAACAAGAAGCGATCGGTTCTCGGAAATTCAGAGGCATTTCTGAGGAATGTTGCGTTCGGTTTGAGTGCAGTCGACTCGATCAATCTCAATCCTGGGTGATGGACTGGCTGGGGGAGGAGGGACTCACTCTGCCCATGGACTCACTCGGGACTCACTCTGCAAAGGGACTCACTCGGGACTCACTCGGGACTCACTCTGCCCATGGACTCACTCGGGACTCACTCTGCCCATGGACTCACTCGGGACTCACTCTGCAAAGGGACTCACTCGGGACTCACTCGGGACTCACTCTGCCCATGGACTCACTCGGGACTCACTCTGCCCATGGACTCGCTCGGGACTCACTCTGCCCATGGACTCACTCGGGACTCACTCTGCCCATGGACTCACTCGGGACTCACTCTGCCCATGGACTCACTCGGGACTCACTCTGCCCATGGACTCGCTCGGGACTGCTTATACTGCGTATAATGACGTTAGTGAGAATGACCTAAGAGGTAGAGTTAGGCATTGTGCCGACGAGCAAGGGAAGTGACCTTCTTGCTGACCATTCCTGGCCATTCCTGGCCATTCCTGGCCATTCCTGACCATTCCTGGCCATTCCAGGAATGGCCAGGAATAACATTCCTGGATAATAACATTCCATAATACTGTTACTCATTTCGGTAACAGTATTTATGTCATGGGTGACTTTAATTTTAGCGGAATAAACTGGTTGAACAAAACAGGGAATAGTGAAGCAGAAGATTTTCTAGAATTAATTGACGATTGCTTTCTTACGCAACACATTAAGGAACCAACACGGGAAAATAATATTTTAGATTTAGTGTTAACTAACAGGGAAACGCAAATTAATGACATCGAAATAGGGAGTGAGCTAGGGAGCAGTGATCACAAAGAAATCAGATTTAGCATAGAATGGAATAGACCAGTAGGAGAAAATTCTGTTAAAGTGCCAGATTTTCGAAAAGCTGATTTTAATAGCCTAAGAAATTTTTTGGGTCAAATTGATTGGAAAGGCTTGGGTATGGGGTGTGGGCCGGTCTTGGAGCGAGACATGAACCCAGCGATAGGTGACTTAAATGGGGATTTCGATGTGGATTCAATATATAACTTATTTAAGAATATTCTAAACAAAGCACAGGAACGTAGTATACCATACAAATTGAATAGATCGTATACTAATGACCCAAAGTGGATAACAAAGAATTTGAAGAACCTTATAGGTAAAAAGAGAGCTTGGTACAAAAGGATTAAAAATGGGGAGGTCACTTTAGAACAGGAATTCGTACAACTGGTTAGAAATGTTAAAAAAGAGATAAGGAAAGCAAAAAGAAACTATGAAGTTCGCATAGCAGGGCAAGCAAAGACAAATCCTAAAGGTTTTTTTCAGTTATATCGTACTAAGACTAGGGAAAGGATAGGTCCATTAAAAACTGAGACAGGTCAAATAACAGATAGTGATGAAGAGATGAGTAGTATTTTTAATAAATATTTTGTATCTGTATTTACTAAAGAGGAACTTAACAATATGCCTTCAGCCGAACAAATCTATGTGGGTGGGGACGAGGACAGGTTGACGAGTTTAACAGTTACCAGGGAGGATGTTCTTAAACAAATAGTAAAACTCAAACCAAACAAATCCCCAGGGCCGGATGAAGTGTTTGCCAGGGTGCTTAAAGAATGCAAAGAGGAGCTTTGTGACCCACTGTCAACCATATTTAATAAATCAATAGAGTCAGGCAGAGTGCCAGAGTTTTGGAAAGTTGCTAATGTGATACCAGTTTTTAAGAAAGGAGATAGATCACTTGCGTCTAACTATCGACCAATTAGCCTAACGTCTATTGTGGGAAAGTTACTCGAATCTATAATAGCAAATAAAATTCGTCTTCATCTTGAAAAACATAAATTAATAATTGAGTCGCAACATGGTTTTATAAATGGCCGTTCATGTTTAACAAATTTGTTATCTTTTTATTCTAGCATTGTTGAGGCAGTTGATAGTGGTAAGGATTGCGATGTTGTATACCTTGACTTTAGCAAAGCTTTTGATACAGTGCCACATGAAAGACTGATTAAAAAAAAAAAAAAAAAAAAAAAAAAAAAAAAAAAAAAAAAAATAGAGTCTCATGGTATTGGGGGTGCTATATTAAGCTGGATTAGGGCATGGCTATACCAAAGGAAACAGAGAGTTAGTATAAATGGAATCAAGTCAGAGTGGGAAAATGTTGTAAGTGGAGTGCCTCAAGGCTCTGTCCTGGGACCTCTGTTGTTTATAATATATATAAATGATTTAGATTCAGGTTTGAGTAGCAACATTTGCAAATTTGCCGATGATACGAAAATCGGTAGGGAAATTAATTCAGAGGAGGACTCACTATCACTTCAAGTTGATCTAGATAGGGTTTTGAAATGGTCAAAGGATTGGCAGATGCAGTTTAATGCTGATAAATGTAAAGTTCTGAGGTTAGGTAATGATGATAGAGTTACAAGATACGAGCTAGATGGTGTTGTGATTGCGAAGTCGGATTGCGAAAGGGATCTGGGAGTTATGATTAGTAAGAATTTAAAACAAAAGGATCAATGCATAAATGTTCGTAATAAGGCAAATCGGACACTTGGATTTATTAATCGCAGCGTTAGTAACAAGACACCTGGTGTGGTTCTCAAGCTATATCTTGCTCTAGTTAGGCCCCATTTAGATTATGCCCCATTATTAGATTAGTTCAGTTTTGGTCGCCATATTATAGAATGGATATAAATTCACTTGAACGTGTCCAGCGTAGGATGACTAAGTTAATTCCCCAAATTAGAAATCTTTCATATGAAGAAAGATTAACAAAGCTTAAGTTGCATTCACTGGAAAGGCGAAGAGTTAGGGGTGACATGATAGAGGTTTACAAGTGGATGAATGGACATAACCGGGGGGATATTAATAGGGTATTAAAAGTATCAACACAGGACAGAACACGAAACAATGGATATAAATTGGATAAGTTTAGATTTAGGAAAGACTTGGGTAAATACTGGTTCAGTAACAGGGTTGTGATTTGTGGAACCAATTGCCGCGTAACATTGTGGAGGTGGGGTCCCTCGATTGTTTCAAGCACGGGTTGGACAAGTATATGAGTGGGATTGGGTGGTTATAGAATAGGAGCTGCCTCGTATGGGCCAATAGGCCTTCTGCAGTTACCTTTGTTCTTATGTTCTTATGTTCTTATGTTCCTGACCATTCCTGGCCATTCCTGACCATTCCTGGCCATTCCTGACCATTCCTGACCATTCCTGACCATTCCTGGCCATTCCTGACCATTCCTGACCATTCCTGGCCATTCCTGACCATTCCTGACCATTCCTGACCATTCCTGACCATTCCTGTCCATTCCTGACCATTCCTGACCATTCTGACCATTCCTGGGCCATTCCTGACCATTCCTGGCCATTTCTGACCATTCCTGACCATTCCTGACCATTCCTGACCATTCCTGACCATTCCTGACCATTCCTGACCATTCCTGGCCATTCCTGGCCATTTCTGACCATTTCTGGCCATTCCTGGCCATTCCTGACCATTCCTGGCCATTCCTGACCATTTCTGACCATTCCTGGCCATTTCTGACCATTCCTGGCCATTTCTGACCATTCCTGACCATTCCTGGCCATTCCTGAGCGAAGGTGGCGTTGGCCACCCCACGAACGACACAGCAGGAAGGTAGAGGTATTTATACCTACACACAGTCAACAATAACTAAATACCACGAACAGCAACAGCACACTCATAGAGGGTAAAATAGGTGACATATCGTAGGTGATTATGAGGTGTTGCTGTGTGAGGCGTGAGGGAAGTGGAGTTGAGCTAGGAATGAGTGATAGGATATCACGGTCAAACCTGTGATCAATTTCGAGTATTCTACACTCGGACCTAAATATTGGAGCCGGGTTCCTGCCAGGTCTGTTCACCTGGTCAATGAGGCTATTCGTGTTGGCAGCCAGCAGCGGGTCCATATGTACCCCATGACAGCCGGACTGATCCAATAGCTCCCTCACAAACTATATATTCACACAGTTTTCACTGGGAGGTCTTATATGGTACCTATATATTTCATAAGGTATATTCATCCTTGCCTTACCAATGGGAGGGAGCCGGTCGGCCGAGCGGACAGCACGCTGGACTTGTGATCCTGTGGTCCTGGGTTCGATCGCAGGCACCGGCGAGAAATAATGGACAGAGTTTCTTTCCCCTATGCCCTTGTTACCTAGCAGTAAAATAGGTACCTGGGTGTTAGTCAGCTGTCACGGGCTGCTTCCTGGGGGTGGAGGCCTGGTCGAGGACCGGGCCGCGGGGACACTAAAGCCCCGAAATCATCTCAAGATAACCTCAAGATAACCATATCTCTCTCACTTTTGCTGAGCTGAGCTGAAATATGACCTACAGGTAGTTTCAACCTGCATGTGTATTATAGGAGCATAATACACATGTAGGCGATGAGTCACAATAACGTGGCTAAAGTATGTTGACCAGACCACACACTAGAAGGTGAAGGGACGACGACGTTTCGGTCCGTCCTGGACCATTCTCAAGTCGATTGAGAAACGTCGTCGTCCCTTCACCTTCTAGTGTGTGGTCTGGTCAGCATAATACACATGTTGGTGGTGTGGTTCACGGCAATTGCACCCAAAGAATGCAATTCAGTTTATTTGAATTGTTTAGGTAAGACATTAAATTTGACTGCCCACATACTCTCTAGTCCGGGATTATGTTAATTGTGCAAAAAATATGTATTTCAAGTTATTATGTCTTGTGTAAATGAAATAAATAAACATTAATTGTTTGCATTCAGTTAGTTTTTAAGATAGAAACAAGGTAAAGGAGAGGGGGGGGGGAATTCCTTAGATATTTCGTCTGGTAATGGAAGTTGCAATGCAATTTGATATCTCATTGACAGCTGTTTGGAGGTGGCAGGTATAGTGTGCATTAGGTAGCGTACAGTGAAAGAAAGTGTCGATGTGCACAGAGCTTTGAGAGTGAACTGGCTCGTTATCACTTTGATGGTGATACTCAGCCGGCTTTGATAGTGAACAGAAACAATTGCAAACGAGAATATTCACAATTCCCGGTTTAGTATTGAGAGTCGCGAGAGGGAAGGTGGTGAAGGGTAATGGAGATAGTGAAGGGAAATGGAGATAGTGAAGGGTAATGGAGATAGTGAAGGATAATGGAGATAGTGAAGGGTAAGGGAGATAGTGAAGGGTAATGGAGATAGTGAAGGGTAAGGCAGATAGTGAAGGGTAAGGCAAGCGGTGTACCTGGATATAGGGCAGATGGTAAAGGTTAGGGGATGTTGACGGTGGTGAAGGGGAGGAAGGGAGGGAGGAAGGGAAGGGAAGGGAGGGAGGAAGGGAGGGAGGAAGGGAGGGAAGGGAGGGTTAAGTATATAGAGGCGGAACCCAGCGGTGCCCGGGACAATAATAATGATAGCTACACAGAAGAAGTCAAGTCAGTAGTTAACGAAGATAGTTACAGTAGCGAGAACGGTCGCGTGTAGTGAAGATGGTGATGAAGATAGTATGTAGTACAGAGGAAGAGAGAGAAAATCTAATAAATATCACACGCGAAATAATAACCAAAAAAAAATCAGAACAGCAACTGAAATAAATTATATGTGTCAATATACATGTATGTGTATGTATATGTATTCAACAATAAAA